TTTCAAAACTGTGTTTTTTCTCGTGCCTCGTCGAAGCGACGACGTTGATTTTCCACTAACGTACAATTTTTCAGACGGGAACAGGATGCCAACGGGAAATGCTGCGAGAGAGAGAGAGAGAGAGAGAGAGAGAGAATAATGGAACAAATTTTTGCTACCTTTTTACAGGTTTCTCTTTTCTATCGGAGGCAGCAGTTATGCATTTTGTTTTTGTCTGCTTGCAATTACAATTTATAACGGTTACCAATTTCAATCGGCATATTTTTCAATTCTACGCTCGTTGCATCGCAACTGACTCGGATTCGTTTGTATTCGTTGTCTCTTAAAAGTCTCTTCGCTGATCTATTTTTCATTCTGTTTCATTCTATTTCATTCACGTAAGGTATTAGAAATAAGATTCAGATGAGACGCTGTTGTTGAGAGAGGAAATCAGACGAAATCAAACGAACGAGTCCTAGATTTTTCTCTTTCGTTTCCTTTCTTTTCCCTCCTTGAAACACCAGCATAAAGTGATAATAAACTCGCACGAAAATATAAAGTCTCGTCGAATCTGTCTGAGAGATCTAACGCAGTTCTTTTTTTCTCGTATTATATTTAGGCAAGACTGCTTTGGTACGCAATACTTTACAAGCTGCATTCAAGCGTTGCTGCTTGAAGATGAGAAGGAAAAGCTTTTCGAGATGGTCGAGTACCTAGGCCGCAAGAAGTAAGAAGTAAGAAGAACACAGAGGCGCTTTCATTACTACCAAGACTTTTATTTACACGACACATCTACGACGAACGATGAACGATGAACGATGAACGATGAACGATGAACGATGAACGACGACGAGCGGATTCCGATGGCGAGGCCAACACCAGCAACTACGAGAGAAACGGGATGTTACGGGATGTTACGAGACTGGCAGTTGTCCACAAAATGGTCACTGTGATTTTCACACACCCACACACACACACACACACACACACAGAATTTTAGAGAACCAACGCAACGTCCATTCAACGCTACTTTCTTCGCGACATCCGAAACATCGTACCACACTCCTGAATTGGGAATTCCAGGCACGCTACGTAGTCATACCTCTTCCTTCCTTTTCCACAATGCATCGAGATCCACAGTATCGAGACAGTAGAGAGAAACGATATTACGATATACGACCGTAAAAAGTAATTGTCAATTGTCACACGTATATACGCAGAACGCATATACGGGGTTCCGCAGAGAGGAGAACAGGGAGGAAGAGAGGCAAGTGGAGGAGAGAAAAAAAGAGAATGAGACATGCACGTTTATCACAATTATCTTACTTACGTATCACAATTATCGCACAAGTACACGTGATTATCGACGATCATCACGTTCGGAAATATATATATATATATATATATAT